GTCGTGTTCCCTCTTACTCCGATTACATCACGGATTTATATCACTCGACACACACGTTTTAATGAGATGAGTTTCCCGTATAAAGACATACCTTCCAATACACCTCTCTCTACCCTCACCCTTCACATATTTCTCAATGACATACCTCTACCCTCCATATCCACATCACCTTCCCCTTCTACACCACCCACCCATACGCCTTCAACTACGCCATGTAACCTATGTCCACCTCAACCACCAGTTGTTGTGTTTCACGAGCCACTTCCCTCTGATGATGACTCATATCCATTCGATCCTCCTTCATCACCTAGCTCCCCATCCTTACCACCTAGCACCCCTAGTCCCACTCATATCCACAACACACCCTCGTCTCCTAACCATCCACCATCACCCACTACCACTGCTCCGCCGGTTACTACTACATGGGCACCAACCGGTCACTTAATGGTCACGCGTGTGAAAGCTGGAATTTTTAAACCCAATCATCGAGCTGATCTTTCTAAATTTCTATGCCATGGGCTCTCTCATATGTTATTTGCTTTAAGTGATCCTATACATCACACTCAAGCCATAAATGCCACTAAATGGGTAAATGCTATGCGTATGGAGATGGACACTATGTATCGCAATAATACATGGATATTGGTTCCACGTCCCAGTACTCATAATATTGTTGGGTGCAAGTGGTTGCTTCACACAAAATACCCTGCTGATGGTTCCATTGAGCGTCGTAAGGCTCGTCTCGTAGCTCAGGGTTTCATGCAAGTTCTCGGTGTTGATTTTTCGCATACATTTAGCCCGGTTGTTAAATCATCTACCGTCCATGTTGTCTTGTCATTGGTGATTATTATAATTGGTCATTACATCAATTAGATGTAAATAATGCTTTCCTCCATGGTGACTTATATGACTATGTTTTCATGTAGCAAACCCCAAGATTGTTGATTCTCGATTCCCTAATCATGTTTGCCTGCTCAATAAAGCAATCTATGGTCTCAAACAAGCTCCTCGGGCTTGGTTTCATCGCCTTTACTCTTTTCTGGTGGCGGATGGATTTCAATGAAGTCGTGTTGATCCGTCCCTCTTCATCTTCAAACGTAGGACATGTTTATTATACTTACTTATCTATGTGGATGACTTAATTCTTACAGGCACTCACTCCTCACTTATTCGGTCTTTCATTAGCAAATTGAATAATGAGTTTCGAATTAAGGACGTTGGGTGGTTAAATTATTTCCTTGGTTTTGAGGTGTCTTACATGGATTCAGGTCTCTTTCTTTGTCAATCCAAATGTGCGCATGATATTTTATCTCAGGTAGGTCTACTTGAATCTAAACCAGTCGCCATGCCACTATCATCCTTTTCTCCCTTGGTTGTTGTTGGGGTGCCTTTCTTCGATCCCGCCAAGTACCGCTCGTTGGTTGGCGCTCGTCAATATTTAACTATCACGTGCCCTAATATATTTTATGTTGTTAATCAAGAGAGTCAATTTCTTCAAGCTCCAACAAAAGACCATTATACTGTTGTTAAATGTTTACCTTAGTACATTAAAGGCACACTTCATTTTGGGTTGACATTCTCTCGCCCTAATTCAACCAATTTGGTTGGGTATTCTGATGTTGATTGGGCTCAGTGTATTGATACTCATCGCTCCTCTTATGTATACTCGATATTCATGGGGTGGGGGGAAGTCTTATATCATGGAGCACTAAAAAGCAACCTACAATTTCTCGCTCGAGTTGTGACTCTAAATATCAAGCAATGACAAATATGGTTGCGGAAATCATATGGCTCACTCATCTCATACATGAGCTCCATGTCTTACCTGATTGTCGGCCGACACTTTTGTGTGACAATCAAATTGCTCTATTTCTCTCTCAAAGTTCGGTCTCACATAAGAGGAGCAAACATATTGAGCTTGACTATCATTTTATCAGGGAACTAGTTGCATGTGGCAAGCTTCATACAATGTTCATTCCTAGCAAGCTTCAAGTGGCGTACATTTTTACCAAAAGTTTACCTTGACTTCTGGAATATGCTTTGTCTTGGTCCAGCCCTGTTTTTCTTGCAGGGGATATTAGTCATAATTAATATCTTGTAAATTTCATATTTATGAGGTTGTTTATTTGTAAATTTATTGTATATATACTCTTTCTCTACCCATTCATGGGTATTTGAGATCGTTACTTTCTCTATTTCAAGTGAAAATATGAAACGCGCTACTATAAATTCAAATATTTAGTAGTTGATATTAAATGATGATGCTACATATGGTTTGGTCACTCTGGAATGAAACGAAACGCCATAGCCCGATAACAATTAACAATTACACAGGCCGACGTCCAATCGTATTTCGTGGGGATTTTCTAAAATAGTTTACATGGTTAAGTTAGTAACTACTTAGAGAGAGTATGTGATTATGATAGGTATGAGTATTTGAGAGACTATTATGTCTGAAGGGGCGCTTGATTTTGGGGTTTGACCTCTTATTTCTACCGACCATGGTGGATGTAATAAATGCGATGCATTTTCGGTTGTACAACACGTCAGAATGTATTTGATTTTTTCACAATGTAGTCCTTGTTCCATGGACATGTGTCATCTCTTGTTGCCACATGTCTCAATCACTTGACCTGTGTCGTCTCCTCTCAGCATGCGTCCAACATTAAACACCTTATCGCATCGTGACAAACCACACTTTGCGTCACGACCAGTTCTTGACTTTCGTTGACAACGAATTAACCCGACCATCACTCAGCGCAATATATAAGTCACACCGCGAGTTTCTAAAATAACAATCTACTTATAATTTGCCTTTTTCCTCTTTGAACTCCACAACTTAACACCAACAAACATTATATAATCAACTTAAAGCAAACTCTATGCTTTATTTCTCATACTTGTCTTATAAACAAATCCCTCAGAATAATACAGGTTATGAAAAACGAATATTACAAGACGTAGTAGGCATAATAGGATTAGATGATTGTTTCTTAAAGGTCCAAATTAAAGGTGATTTATTTACTTTTATTGGAAGATATACCAACAATCATGTGTATGAATAACATGGATTGTAGTAGAATTTAATGGTAGAAGGGGCCTAGTTTTTGTTTTAGACAAACAAAAGGTAATCATAATTCCTTTGTTTATTTCTTTTATGTACGTATCAAACAAGTGAATCAACTGTGTGTTGTGTGCGTGCGTGTGTTCCTTTTAAAGTTTTTTAGAATTTATGAAATAAATCCTACCTCGTGTTTAACATAGGAAATATGCAAGACACATTTATTCAAACTTCGTGAATACATATCCTAGATTAGAGTTAAACAAATCTTGTTTTTGGGTTGCATGTAATAAGTATTTTGGAAAGGGATTTCGTGTTTAAGATGTATAAAATAGAAAAATAAGTCAAAATGTCTATGCTTACCACATGTCAAAGAACCTAAGATCGTGGTGCAAGACATTCATTCAACAAGGAAATTCATATGAACATGTGGAAAATGGCATTTCTGAGTGTTTTGTCATAATAACTGATTCTAGAAAAAAAATCTTACCATGCATGGACAAATAAGAATTTACATAGTGGACAAGTTTTAGCGTATGACATATATACAACATAGAGATCTAAAAGGTTTACATGAATTATAAAGAACATGATGGAATTTGGAAGGGAAATTATACATGTCTATATAGGTTATAAGTTCAATTAATTGCAACTATATCATTAAATTTACTTTTGGTATGGTTGATTACAAATTAAGGTAATGGTAATAGGGGATGTGTTTGAAACCATGTATGGTTATTCAACTTTAAAATGGAACTTGGATGATCATTATTACACTTGTATAATTTGGAAATTGCTAGCTAGCTATACGGTGTGTTCTTGCATAAGCTTCCCTTAATTACATCCATTTGACTCCATGTGATTTGTATTCTTGCAAAAGCTTCCCTTAATTACATCCATTTGAATCCATGTGATTTCATTAGTTAGCGGGTTATCAAGGAAAATTAGGGATGCTTATAGGGAAAACATTTTTCCTATTAATGGAAGAAACATGTGGCCTCACACTAAGTTTATTAAGTCATTATCTTAATTAATTAGAAATTTTCTTGTAAGGATCTATTTTTTTTTTTTAAAAAAAAAAAAAAAAAAAAAAGAAAAGACATGTTATTGAGTATGATCTAAAATATCTAACATTGATGGTTCTTATGTCAGTTAGGTGTGGTAACTATCATGAAATAGGGAATAATAAGTCATGCAAGAATAAAACATTGATAAAAGAACTATGTCACATAAGAAGGCAAGTTATTTAGGAATAAACCAAGTGGTGTGGGAGAATAAAGGTGGTAACAAGTAGGAGAAGAAGTACGATGTACTAGAGAAAGGAGTAGAATCTAGAAAAGGTGGTAGAAGTGTTAGTGAATCGATTCCAATTCAAATTAGTGTTAGTGAAAAGATGAATATGGATGTGATTTTTAGGTGGTTCCAAGTATCAATGAGATTGTTTAGGTTTTTCCAAGTGTGGATGTCATTTTTTAGGTTGATACGAGTTATGGGGTATTTTTCAAGGGTAAATTTCATTAATGAGATTGTTCTAAGTGTTTATGTGAGATATGAGGTAGTTTCAAGTTTATACTGATGCCTATATGTATCATGATAATGAGAGGGATATTGATGTTTGAGAGAGGACGATTGATGATGAGTTTATTGTAGACACATATGATACTTTGGCCAAAACTATTCCATGGAAAAAAAAAAAAATACAGAAGTTGAAGAAATCAATGCATGATAAAGATGTAGATGGTTCATATATGGAGAATGCCATTATTTTTGGTTAATCTTTTGACAAGAGGTCAAATTTTGTTAATACACATCCAATTGTTTGTCAACATCTAGTTTTAAGATAGACCTTTTGAACAATTATAGTACTTTGTCGTTTCCACGTCTCCAATTTAGTACAAGCAATTTAACATTGTAAGAAGTGTATTTACATATACATTTCCAACTATCTAATTTAGTATTAACAGTTTATCAATTTTCCAATTTAATACAAGTATTTTAACATTGCTAAAAGTATTTATAAACAATAAGAAGCATTAAAACAATTAATCTTTTTATAACCAAACATGGGTTTCAAAATATAGTTGATTAATCAATGAGATACCACACAAACGAATCAAAACAAATAATGAACATCAACATACGATACGATTATTGTAACCCTAAGAATTCCATTCATGAAATTCAAGTGTGAGTATGAGCTTTGTTTTCTTTAGCTTGACATCATGTCATGATTCAATGCCTGAATTGCTTGATTTGCAAAATAACGAACATCAACATCCGGATCCTCAGACAAATCCACCAAACACGGCTTAATCGTACTCTCCACAACCTGTAAATTACACAAATGGTCCCTTTCATTTTTTGTTGACCATTTTGCCCTCGGACTATACGACCGAATTTGTGTAAAAAGAAACTTACAGAATGGTCAACAATGGGAATTAGCGATTGCAACACCTTTGCTACATTGAATTTGATATTCGGCACTCTAAAAAAAACAACACACAATAAATAAATAAATAAATAAAAAGACAAAAAGAAAAGAAAAAATACATATAAATATATATACACCTGTCTTTGGAGGCAGTTACAACAACAGGAAGCAATTTAGAACAAGTGATTTCTGAGCCCATGACAGGGGCAAGAAGGGAAATTGCACGAATAACAGTCATGCGATACAAATAATGCGGGTTGTTAACCATTTCCAACACCTTCCAACAAAAAAATTATAAAAACATATAACTTAATAAATAAATAAATAAATAAAAACAAAGAAATATAAATATAAAACCTGTGGAACAATGTGTTGCATTGCCCATTCGGGACCAAATTCCTCTGCGAGGCGTTTTAAGTTGTTAGCAGCAGCATCTCTAATGGAGTAAACCTGTTTGAAACAAAAATGGTGAATAGATTAGGAGGAAGGGAAATGGAAGTTGGAAATTACGAAACTAACCTTGTCCTGCAACCATTTCATGCAGAGAGCACCAAGCTTATCATCAAAAAACCCTACACCTAATTGACTACCCAAAAGAGGGATATATTCTATTATTGCCAATCGGACCCTCCAATGTCTGTCTTCTGCTAGCTCGACAATTGCTGGAAGTAATGATTGAGACAAAAGATCGATTCCAATAACCTAAAAAATTCCGACACCAAAACTCCAAATCGTTACATGATTGTTGAGAAGAATGGATAGTGGAAGTGAATTTTTAAGAAGCGAAAACGAACAGTGTATAGCATACCTGATTGACTTGATCCAGCTTACTTATGATGTTGAGACGCACATCTGGGAACTCGTCTTTTAGAAGCGAAAGAAATATAGGAAGAAGTTGTTCGATTGTCGCTTCCTGTAATTTGTAATTTGTAATTTTTCATCGATTCATGATTCGTGAATATAATCAATTGTATAAAATATGGAATACTTACTTTTCCTAAAACAGGGGCCATGCCCATGATAACTGAGGCGAGAGCGGATCTAACATGTTGAGAAGAATCGGAGGATAATTCCTACATTCATATCAACGGAAGGAGGTAAGAATTCATGAAAGAATGTTTGAAAAAGAAGGAAATAGTGAAATTACGATTCTGACCTTGACGCATGGAAGAATATGTTGGATCGCAAGTTCTGCGTTTAGGATTCGAGAGAATTTGGTGACTTTTCCAGCAGCTGCGATTCGTACTTCAGCTTCGTTGTCTCGAAGTAGTCTTACATAAGCTGGAACCAATTCAGACCTATCAAAGATATCAATATTTCAATATGTTAGATTCATAAGATGAAAAATTAAGTGGTTTTGATTTTGAGATTTGAATCTTTGATTAGAAAGATACTTACTTGGTGGGTTCGGGTCCCACAGCTTCACATAGTTCGTATAATTGGTTAGCTACCATATACCTCACACGCCATGACTTGTCCTGATTTACGAACAAAGAAGAAAATTAAGGCAAACATTGTTGAATTATAAAACCAAATCACTCTTAAAACTTCACCTGAGAAAAATTGACAATGACAGGAAGAATATGTGCAACACAGTCCTGTGGCTCTAGCAATTTCCCAAGAGCAGCACAACCCTCAACAGCTAGCAATCGTACAGAATCTTGATCTATAACAACAAGAATCAAATTTACATCAATAATACAAAAGTATCACTAAATAACAAAAGTAAGAAAAAGTTACCATCTTGAGTAAGATCCTCAAATATTTGCATGATTTCAGACTTGAGATGAGAAGGTTCCATAGTAGCAGCAAATTTCCCCAAATTTGTAGCAGCAGATCTTCTAACCATAGGCATATCATCTTGACACAACTGACTATATACAGACCTTAATTCAGCCTTCAATGCCTCAGGGGCACTAGGGTAAGCAATGTGAAATAGTCCACAAGCAGAAACACGTGCAGTAAACCATTCACCAGCTGCCAACCTCTGCAGTAAACATGGATATTACAATAAACTCCAAAATGGGAAACAACACAAGGGTATAAAAGTAAATTACCTTAACCAGAGGTACAAAGAACTCAACCAGATTGGTGTCTTTCATCTGTGATCCAATTCTGCAAAGTGACTCAACAGCTTTCTCCCTCACACAGGTTTCTTCAACAGTGCAGAGGGTTTCGAGAGGGGGGAGTAAGACATTGGCATGATCAACTCCTCCTACATAGGGAATGAAGACACCTAACTCTTCTGCCATTGCAAGAAGAACTTCATCATCATCATCATTGTTTTCACTCAAGAAAGGGATTAGTTCCTTTCGTGTGCGTTCTTCCCCTAGAGCACGTGCAATTGTTGATAGTCTTCTAATGGAATTTAATCGCAGTTGGATGTCATCGTTCTTCAGTTCATCTATTAATACTGCTATTGGGTACAGAGGTTCATCTCCCATCGACATTGTAGTTCACAAAGCTGCTGTAGTTTGAATCTAGTTTAGAAACAAGTCAGATGTTATATGATCATGGAGTTAACTAAGCATTTATGTGGAATATATAGTATATTAGCTTTCCTTCCCAAAATTTGCAACTTTCTTCATCAATTCCCTGTGACTATAATTTCAGATCTTAATAGGATTGTGAAAGTGTGTTGGAATAAAGCTTAACTCTTCCTAGGGTTAGTCTTCAAACATCGTGGAAATGAAGCTTTAGCTTCTCAACGATTTAATGTAATGAAACAGCATTCAACATATGTGCATATCTATCAGAACAAATAAGTAATTGCATAAATCACATTTAAGCTGCTTAGTTGAGAACAATCATTCAAATTAGGGAAAGTTGAAAAGAATAAGAGAGGAGGAGAGAACAATTCAAAAGCTATAAATTAAATCAGATTTAGAAAAAATATAAAAATAAACTATGAGATCTAAAACTAACCCTAAAACAACAAACCCGAAAAAAGGAGAAGTAAATCACGAAATCAACTCCAGAATCGTGATTTGGAGGATGAAATTGTATGGTTCACCGTGTTAATTATGAAAAATTGGATCAAATAAGGGAATTTTAATCGGCAAATAGATTGTAATGAAGGAAAAAACCGATGCAACGAGTGGATCTGAATCTTACCAGAGATGATGAATGCGCTTCCTACCTAGCTTAATCAAGATTCTAATGGCCTGCTTTTCGTCGTTCACTACCAGAGAGATTATATCGTTTTTCTGTTTTGAAATTAACGTATTGTCGTGAGCGTAGCTGCAGTATCGAGAGAGAAATGGGAGAAATTGCACTTTTCAGGGAACATTTACATAACTTCTGGAAAGCCCCCTTAACTATGGTTCTTTTTCTATTTCCGGCACTAAAAGTTATGTACAAGAGGGAATTTTATATTTCATACAGTCAATTATAAAGAAATAATGTTAATTCTTACTTTTCCTAATAAATTAACATTAAAATCTTTCAACTTGGGGGTTTTTAGCTATGATGCATGGAAACTTCTCTAAGGTTGCAAAGAAGCAACGCTATGGATACCATGACCGATCACCATCGATAAAGAGAATCTTTCTAAATCATTTCTGAAACTCCATGGAAACGGATACTCCATGGAAACGCCTTGGAAACGTTTCAGGTATCATGGAAACGTTTCTGCGAAGTTTCCTAGCCGTTTCTATTTTATTTTAGGGTTTACATGGGTTTTTTAAGTTTAAATCCAAAAAAAGCTAATGTCCCTAACCGATCGTCGATCAAAGTGTCTCCTATCGTGAGTCGTCTCCTGTCTTCTCCTTCTCGATCAAAGACGATTAGTCGATCACAATTCACAAGGATCGTCAATCATCATTCATTACCATTCTTGATTCTCTTAATTCCTAATCACATCATTGATTATGACTTCTCAAGAAACACAATGATCATCAACTATATCAATAGACCAACCTCTATTGTGGGACTTTACATCAATATATCTATTTTGGAGTTTATTTTATATATATATATATATATATATATATATATATATATATATATATATACATACATACATTTTTATATTGTCTTATCTCTGCGTATCTGTATCTTGATTTTTTGGGTTTTGCCGTTTCCGGTTTCCGTTCCGTAAAATGTTTTGATTAATGTATATGGTAGCAAAAATGTACCAAGTTATAAACACATTTTGCTTAGCAAAATTACTTGTTATAAAATGACCAAAAAAAGGAATGAAAGGGAGCTTGATTGATATACTATTGTCTTTTATCTCAAAAATTTATAAGGTTGGTAGGTGTGGGTAACATGTTATCTCATCCCAAAGTTGTCACCTCACCAGCCATGTCAAAATAGTGTTATAACACAAATTGGAGGAAATGGTCTTCCCATGTTATAACATAGAGTTAAGAGGAGAGAGATAGAAAGATAAATATGTGCAACCAATGAGAGGAAAGAAAAACTCCTGTTAGAATATGTTATCGCGATAACATCTTTTAAAATAACACCAAATAACATGAGAGAGGGTCGGTGTTCCTTATGTTACAACACCGTTGATTGATGCCACATAAGGTTTCAAGAGTAATTTTTTAAAACTTTCTTATTAGCATAAGGCTGGTGGGTGTGGGCAACATGTTAAGACATGTTATCATACCCAAAATTTGCCAACTCATATGCCATGCCATCTTTAACCCCATTTGATTTATGTAGGAAATGGTGTGTAAATGGTATAACATGTTAAGAGATACAAAGAGAGTTAGAGATAGAGTGAGATAATGGCTTTTGATTGATTGATTCTCACGTTACTTCCTGTGGCCATGGTAACATTTCATAACATAACACCAAATAACATGAGAGAGAGGCGGTGTTCCGGCGTTCTGGCGTCCTTATGGGAGCTTCCAAATCAGCATAACGCCTTATGGTGTTGCCCATAACGAGTAGATCAAGGAGGAGTGTGCTTTACAATGTCTCGACAAGAACGAAGTGAGTCAGCTTGGTAAACACTGCGTCCTCAACTCAGTAACAGGCTAAAAATAAAAGAGATAATTATTTTTCAATTTCATTTTTTCCCATTTTTTCAAAAAACTATGTTTTTTTTTTAATTTCAACTTTTAAACCACTTTTCTACTAATATAAACACCAACAACTATCTTCATTTCTCACTACTCTTAAACCTTCAACATTCACTTTACCTCTCTCAAATGTCTTCCTTAAACGCTCAACCCGGTTCCCCGATTGTACCTTGGAGAACGATAGAAGATGTGATTTTAACTGGTGCATGAGTCGAAGTATCGGAGAACCCAAGGGTCGGCATCAACAAAAATGTGTTATCTTTTTGGAATAAAATCACTCAAACATTTCCTAATCAATATGAATCAAGGTTGCTACCGAATCAGAGATCAAATCTACACCAAACAGAATAACATGAACAAAGTGGTAATAGAGTTTGATGTTGCATTTAATTATATGAGACGTGATTAACCAAATGATGAAAACGATATAATGGTTATAAATATTGCTCTTGCAAATTTTCCAACAATAAAAGAACAAACTTTTTTGTAGATTTTTTGCAAGTTGTTAATAAGTGCACAACATGGCGCCGATATGTAGATTGAAGTGGTGTTAAATTTATGTTTTATCTTCAAATGTCTAATCTTTTACAATCATGTAATTTTCCTTTCAGTTTAATGAAATTTTCAGTTTTATATCAATTAGATTGTTTTAAATAACAATCAAAATAAAAAACTATTACTTGGTACCCCCCCACACCCTACGAAAAATATGGCAAGAAGTTGAAGTGATAGGACAAAAGTGAGGTTGCGTCTACGGCTCAAAAAAAAATGGCATGGATAACACCACTCCCCATTTTTAAGGTGCATGGTGTTGATGTGTTCTGGCCGGAATAGGCTGCCGGTACCGGTACGCCTGACGGTCCCGCGGCTCCGCCCCCCATGGTTTCAGCATGGTCGGCTTGGGTGGGTTCATCAATGGTTTGTAGTTACAGTCTCTTTCTTCTATTATGCTTCACAACTTATAGTTCTATATGCTTTAGTATTTGTACAGTAAAAATGGGAGGCTTAAAAATATAGATTGTTTGTGTTGTTGTCTGGAAATATAAAAAAGAGAAGAGATAAAAAATTGATGTGACGTTTATTTAACAAAAGGATTAAGAGTGAATGACTCCCTCCATCTTAGAGACAACGAAAAATTATTTTCACTTAAGTTGCAGTGACTTGGTAAAGAATGTGGAAGATATAGTGGATAACCTATTGATTCATGTTCATCCGACAATACACAACCCCTGTAGCCATGGAGGTTCGCATGTAGTGACTCCGAGGCATGAGGCATGTGGAGGTTCGTCTGCAATGAATCCAAAGTATGAGGCATAGTCTCATGTTCGCAGCGGGATTAGTCAGTGCGTAAAAACTGGTCCGGAAACCCTCGTTAGAGAAGTTTCATTTCCAGAGGGAAAAAAAAAGTTATTATCTAAGAAACTAATAAATCGTTAAATCATTAAGTCATTTTGAACATGACCTCAAACACTTTTTAGATTTTTTCAGTTTTCTTTATTACTTTTAGTCGGAAATATCATATGTTGATTTAGTGATTTGGTATTGAATGTCTAATGTGAATGTCACATGTATTTTTTTTTTCTTTTGATGACATGAATGTCACATGTATATTTTTGTTAATGTGGATCAAATCAGTTACCCGTCAGCTTAACATGAAGCCTCTAAGTTTAATATAATGTTTTTAAAACCGATTTGAACTGGCCGATCGAACCGGTAGGATCGGGAACCAGGAGAGAGAACGGTTCAACTATCACCGGTTTTATGTCGATTTCTGAATCGGATTAAACCAACCGTTTAAAAAAAAACGAATAAAAACACACAAGAAATATGTAAAACATATGGTAAATGTTATAAATTTTTTGATGTCTTTGTATTCATCTAAAACTATATTTTATTCCTGTATTATATTTTATTTTATTTTTGATGCATATGGATTTATGTAAAACACTAAAACTTATAATTATGTATTATTTTAATATATTTTGATTGATCTACTCCTTATTTTTATATATATCTTTAATGTTTGAACTAGTTAACGTTAAATTCATGATTTATATATGTATATATGTATAAGAAAATAGGAAAATAGATGAAAATTATAAAAACCAAATGACCCGACGGTCAAACCGGTTAAACTAATTGAACCAGTCACCCCCCAAACCCATTTCTTAGCATCCCTTCCCCAACATAAATGTAAATATTTGTATAAATTCATGTTACAAAAACCAACTAAATGTTTCACTACAATATTCTAGCAAGTTATAAGTACACTTTAATAAGTTGAAACTACATAATACCAAACCAAGTATAGCCTAATATAACAAATGTTTATTTAGTTACATACTATTCTCAATAAAATTACAATATGAACTTCAATCACATTTTCCTTTTCAATTCACACTAATCTTATCAAATCATGAACTCAATTACACCTCCTCATCAACATCCAAACAAACAAGGTAAGCAACTAATCCAAAAACAGGCACAAATCTTAAATATTTCACTAAATCCACCTTCCTTTTCTCAACATTTTCAAGGTTTTCACCAATCAACCATGGCTGAAAAACTATGTAAAGGCATATATCCCAAATGAATGCATATGCAAGCCTTTCTGACCCAAGATAACTTACCAAAAACTCCAATCTATCCTTAACATTCCCAAAATACCCTTCTGGCCTCCCAAATAGGGCCCACAATATCGATATAACACAAACAGCACCACCAACAACTCCAACCACGGTTGCACCATTGACCATGGTTGACCTAAGTTGGGAAGTTTTTCTTGGAGTGTAGTTAGTATCTGGCTTATTTAATCGAATAGCCATGTAAGGTATCAAGAATGCTACAATATAAAAAAGTAAGATACAACATGTTAATTTAGCCCTGTGTCATTCAGATTTGTTAAACCCTAATTGAAAAGGAACTTACTGTTTGTAAGGAACATTTGAAAGCTCCACAAGACGTCAAGTGATCCCTTGTATCTGTCTCTTTTGAGGTCGGTGAACAACAATGGAGCGAACATTAATGTCCACCCGATAACAAAGTTGAACAATCCTTCTGACATCTGATGAAAAGTGGAATGATTATGGTGATATGAATTTCATAGAAAAAAAAAGGAATGATTTTTTGGGTGGTTTGATTTCTTACAGGGTGAAGCACAGGAGCATCAATTAGACGAATTCCAACTACTCTGCCAAAAATCAACTCATGAATTAACAGAATTACAGGTTTGATGGTGTTCGTTTTAACACTAATTGTTATAAACATAGTTCATTAGATCAAAGAGAGGTCAGGATATACCTGAGTTCATTAGGGGTAGAATGAAGAAGAAATTAAGAGAAAGGCCAACAAGGGAATTGATAGTGTCTGAACTAATAGCCCAAAATGGATCTCCCTGAAATCATGAAACATGTCTACAAAAGTTGTAATCAAACAAGCCTCTGAATCTAGATTTTGTTCAAAAATCAACAGATTATTTGTTTCTAAAGGTAATCTAACAAGCAATTAAGGGAAAACTGATAGCAGATTGTGTGTGTGGACATAAATATAGTAAAATCAATCAACACAAATGATGAGTGAATTTAATTTGTCAAAACGGATGATGTTGAGATAACTGATTGATACATACAGGTGCGTATGGAAGCAAGAACAGCCAAATTATATACACCCCCTCAGTCGCCCACAGGACAAATTGTAGGACTTTCCGTGTGTTATCATCCAGTTCCGGAACCGACAGATCAGTGGTGGTGCTGCTGCTGGAATTCCGGCGAGAGGCGGCGCAAACAAAAGCATTCTCCGTCAAAATCTCTTTCCGCGACTCCCAAGGTTTGGATTTCAATGCGATTACTTCTCGCCTTCTGAGCAACGATGGGGTCTTCGGAAGGAAACTTGCAGGCCGCGGCAAATCGCTGCTAAGGGCGGATATCAGCGTCGCCGTCATCGTAGCCATTTTCCGGTTACTGAAGGGGCCTGCTCCACCAAAATTACTGCAATAATTTGGTGGTGTTTGCACAGTTAGGAGTAGGATGAAGGAATTTAGGCCAACGTGGTGCTCGTAGATTCAAGTGCTCTTCTAGTTGTTGGTAGGATACTAACAGTACAATTCCCATTTTACCCTTCTAATTAATTATTGTCTAATCATTTGTAGTTTTAGGGGGTGTTTGGATTTAGAAATGGCAACGGGGCGGGTTCGGGGCGGGGCATGGTTTCTCAAACCCGTCCCGATATCTTTCGGGTATCTTATCGGGGTGCCCCATTGGGTTCGAGTTTTTCCGTCGGGTTTCGGGTATCTTATCGGGTTTACAGCATTTTATAATGAAATTTTTATTCCCTTTTAGTGTACCCCGAAGTCTTAACATAAAAAATAATCATTCACACTGGATTGTTAATAATTAAAAAGATTGTCCACAATAAGTATTTTATCTTTGAATGTGTGCGACTAACATCTATATATATATATATATATATATATATATATATATATATATATATATATATATATATATATATATATATAATCAGGGCGGGTCGGGGCAGGGCGATGATAACCCACTCCCTGCCCCGAACCCGATAATGACCCGTTATCCGACCCTTTAAATGCTACCAAGCTTCAAGATTGATATTTTTTATTTCATTCATATACATAACAAACTTTCTTCTTTGTATGGTGCTACCAATAGACCAACAAAGCTTTTTAAGACGCACATTCTTGTACCTTTGCATGAAATTACTTCTACTGTGTCGAAGATAAAAGCGATGGTTGTTAGAAATTTGGGTTTAGAAAGGCTTGGAAATTATGAGAATTGTGATTATCACTTTCAAATCGAAGTATTTGGTGGTACTCCCAAATCTTCAATTGGATAAGACTCAGAGAGACAAGAACAAAGAATGTTTGATGATATTTTCGTATGTACCAGAAAATAAGACCAAAACCAACTTTTAACAACTTTGTCTGAAAACTGTCATATGACAGTTTTAAACTGTCATAAAACCATAAAAACTGTCATAAAACGGATATATGGATAAGGGTCAAACCAATGGTCAATTTTCTGATGCATTTTTTTAATATAGTAACATACCCTATATATGTTACTCAATTTTTAAGCTCGATCCCAGCCAGGGGCTCTGCCCCTTGGACCCCGCCAGGGGCTGCCGCCCCTTGGACCCCGCTCCCAGGGGCGCTGCCCCCGAACCCCCGTTCGTTCAGGGGCTTCGCCCCTAAATGACAGTGTACTTTGAAACTTGATCAAACTTAAACAAGTGTGTACTCCACACCTTCCTTACTTGTTAAATATTTATCAAGATCATTTTTGGTCAACACAAAGTAATCTCATTACACTTAAATAACATTGATGATCAAAATCACCAACAATGGTATGCTAATGGCTCTTTCCATTATGGTAGATTTTCATATTGCATGAATTATTCCTTTGTGTCTGTCTGAAACAACACATAATTGTCTGTTTTGAACAACAAAATGTCTGAGTTGGTAAACAGCCCGATCTAGAGTCATAATGTTATATATCAAAATCTAATTGTAAAATAAATCAGAATTTAAAAAAGAGATGAATGAGTATGCTACATATGATAATTACTATTATTAAATATATGACATAAAACCAACAATATGTACCTTGTTATGGATGAACGAATGTTGAAGAAAAAAAAGAATGAAAGATTTAAGTTCAAGAATTGTGAGAGAAATTCATTAGGTTGGAAGAGATGAAAAACTATCAATTATAAGAAAGAGAATTTATAATACAAAAAAAGTGAGATGATTTGACGATTCATTCAATTATTTCTACTGAGTTTTCATCAACAATTGCATTTGAGTGTGCAAAAGACTTTTGCTTTTGCAGTTGAGTAAAGACAAATAACATAATTACAGAGTTTTCACAAATATTGACAACTCATGATATACATTTTAGGCATTGTGAACTAAGATTTTCTCATATTTACAAATAAACGATGATAAAAATATCATTACGAATATTATGATTTTTGTTTAATTTAAATTCTAATTTAGTGTATATTTTGAATGTAATATCGTCATTTTGAATGTAATATCGTTTATAATTGATCTTTTAATTTTCCGACGTAATATATTTAATATTAATATCTATTTGAAGATATTTGTATTATTCATTTAATGGTATAACTGCTTAAGAATAATTCATAAATTATAATTATATATTTTCTAATAATTATTTATGTATAATATATAATGAATGTAAAATTTTGAATTAATCAATTGAAAGATATAAATAATAGATAAATAATGAAAGTTAAGGGTTACTTGATTATATATATATATATATATATATATATATATATATATATATATATATATATATATATATATATATATATATATATATATATATCATTTGTTGGAATGAGCGAAGACCAACTAAAAAGAAGCTTATTTCTAAAATACATTCTAAAACTAACTTATTTCTACACTACTTTTTGAAAAGTAACCTACTTTTACAAAAAAAAAAAAAAAAAAAAAAAAAAAAAAAAAAAAAAAAAAATCCCAAAAGGTCATGCATGGAAGGAAAGTTAGGAGCTTTACGAGTTCAAATGATGTTTAAGGACTAGATCTATGCTTGTATGCTTTAGTTTGGAGTATCATGGCTTTTAGACCAAGATCCATGTCCTAGAGAACTAGGGTTTTAGCTAAACCCTTTAGGTAGGGCTATTAATGGATAAAGTTGGAAACTTTACCCCGAAAATGACATATTCAATGCATAGGAGGAACAAGAATATTGGATCTGAAGAATAGGGGCTTAATCCCTTAATATGGCCCAAACAGACTAAGGAACTCGACGAGTTGAGTCGTGTTGTCCCGGTTCAGTTTAAGGTAGAACTCGACGAGTCAGTGAAGGGACTCAACGAGTTGATTCGCCAAATCACGACTATGAGTAGTCAGGGAACTTGACAAGTTAGGGGATGACTCGACAAGTTGGATTGCGACTTTAGGGTTTTGATTTATAGAAATTGGCGAGTTGATGAGTGAAGTCGGCGAGTCGAGTCAACCTAGATCGTTGAATTTGACCAGATTGTTGACTTTGACCAGGGGTAAAATGTTCATTTTACCCTAAGAAGGATGATCAAATTGTGACTAAATGTTATTGTGATAATGATAGTCAGGGAGTTATTAGAGCAGCTATCAGAGATTCCTCACCGTAATATTCCATAGTCAGCTTTGCGAGGTGAGCTTCCTTCAGTAGGAACGGGTCTACGATACCAAAGCCAACCCATATATGTGATATGATTAGTAGCCGAGTGCGGGCGGGGCCCATATCTCATAGATAGTATGATATAGTATAGATTTATATGCTTAGTTATACGTGTTGTCTGTATGATACTTGTATGTTATTTTCATGGCTAGTTGAGTGTGGGCGGGGCCCGTATCTCATAGTAGTTGAGTATGGGTGGGGCCTACATCTCATAGTAGTTGAGTGTGGGCGGGGCTCGTATCTCATAGTAGCTGAGTGTTAGTTGAGTGTGGGCAAGCCTGTATCTCATAGTAGTCGAGTATGGGTAGGGTTTGTATCTCATAATAGTTGAGTGTGGGGCGGGGTCCGTATCTCATAGTGGTTGAGTGTAGGCGGGGCCTGTATCTCATTGAGTGTGGGCGGTGCCCATATTTCCTAGTTGCATGTTATGTGTATGGTATGTGGTAGTTTGGGGAGTCTCACTAAGCTTCGTACTTACAGTTTACAGTTTTGGTTTTAGGTACTTCTGATAGCAAGGGGAAGAGCTTGGGATGATTGTGGTGCGCACACCATTGTTTAGCTTGGGATGTGTTTTACTCTGATATATTAGACATATATTTATGATATTTTGAGACACATGATCTATGGTTTTTATATGATGTTTGGATAACTACGGTTTTATCAATGATTAAAAATGAAATTTTTGGATAGTATTTTTGGGATGTTTCAAGTTGGTATCAGAGCCTTGGTTTGAGGGATTCGGCACACTCTCGGGTGTGTCTGGACTCAAACTAAGGATTTGGTATGAAATTTTTCATAAGAAAATCATTTTTATAAAAAGAACTTTGAAAAGAGAAAAGGGTGTGGTGCAAGCAATCAGCCGAGCTCAAGTAAGTACTCCAAAATTACTCATACAAGTTTATGTTATGATATGATCATGAGAACTGCATGATAGTTAGGGCTAAGGATCTAGGGAGGATGCCTTATGTTCCTGCTATATGAGCTTATAGAAACGTATGCTAGTACTGATTAGTCAATAATATGATAGCCTGAGTAGGATATGCTTGATTATGTTTAATCAACGCTCGAATGTTGCTTGCTTTGTGCTTTAGGATTTCTAGTTATCTTTAACTAACTATTAAACGAATATGTTAAGTTACATATTACGAGGACTAAATAATTTCAGAAGGTTATGTTCAGCTCTATTTCGCAACTCTCGTTTAAGTCTAACCATTGTAGGGTAGGATCTCTCATTCGAAAAATTATCTAGTCTTAGTGATATGTAATAGTATTCGTGAGCTAGTTAGGGGAAGATAGCAGGGACTTCGTATGCAGCTGATGGCGGAGAGTGGGTTGGTGATTACCCTAGGGAAAGCCAAGGACGAGATTAACGCCTGAAGTAGTAATAGTAAAAGGGACTTGGTGGAGTCAAGGCGGTTCTTGAGGAAAGTATGGATAGATGTAGAAGGTAGTATGGGCTCGTACTACTGAAAGCAGAGGATCCATACTCAAATCAAGGAAGGCTGAGATGAATCCAATGAACTTGTAGTGTATGTGATCCCTCAAGTTATGATGAGTATTCTGATGTTTGTTATGGTGTATTTTCAGAATGGTGACGCTACGCAATAGACCAGTTGGCACTTCAGGAGCCGATGAGGGATCAGGCTCAGGCTTTAGAGTCGGGCAGCTTGATGAGCAGACGAGATAGTTCATCTCTTCTGAGATCATGCACAACATTATAGATCAGACTCATGTGATCTTTGGTTCGGTCAAGGTGGGCATCTTGGAGATACTCGATGAGAGGTTGGGTGCATTCCACACCAAGATGGAGGCCATGTTGGGGGCGTGCACGATGACTCTCAGGGAATTCCGAGCATGCAGAGCTCCAAACTACTATGGGGATCGGGACCCC